TTGTACAGGACGCACGTTTTTTCTGATTCAAAGGTTGAAGATGAAGCTGGAACTGGGCTGGGCCTTTGTTTCTCACTTTTGACACCCCCTGACTTGTTATTTACACCCCCTGGCCCATTTCATATATTTTTTATATTTTTCTATTTTCTTTTTCATTTCTGACTTGATTTTATTTTTTCTAAACTTAAAAAATTACTAAAAATATTTTCATAAATTTTCATATTTTATTTTATTATTTTTATTATTTTTTAGACATAAAAATAATTATTAAATAACATACTTTTATTTTCTTTAATAAAAACTTGAAAATAATACATAAAAATATTATATTTTTATTTTTATTGTTTACATACTTAAATAATATTTTTTCTAATATATTTTATTTTTTGACATTTGTATATATTTTATTATTTTATTTAATTGTATATAAATAATATATATATATATATATATATATATATATATATATATATATATATATATATATATATATATATATATATATATATATATATATATATATATATATATATATATATATATATATATATATATATATATATATATATATATATATATATATATATATATATATATATACTTTCTTAAAATAAATTAGGGTTTTACCCTTAATAAAAATAATCTTTCATTTTCTTTTCTTTTTTTAATACATTAAATATTATATTTTTACATACATAAAAATAAACAAAAACATTTTTTGCATATTTATAATATATTGCATATTTATTTAATTGTCTATTTAAATATTTGCCTATTTATTTATTTGCACAATTAATTCAATTTGGATGTAATAGTTAATTTTAGGGTTTTATTTTCTTGCAAATACTCCCCATTCAAAATTGTATCCCCCTCCCTATATCAATGTTGTAATAATTTAGGTTTATTTTACGCACTTTATGCTTTCAAATATGCCATGATAGAGATTAGAGTTTGTATGCAATATCCAAAATTAAAACAAATAGCTAGACTTAAAACAAGACAAAGATGCATGAAAATGACAACACAATGCACACATGCACCCCTAGGGTTTCATCCACTTGTTGCCTTTAAAATGGCCATGGTATGCATGTTGAGTATCTTAGCAAAACAAAAACAAAACAAAAAGATCATAGTCCCTCGATGACACTATCTTAGTTGCCTATACAAAATGATCTAGTCCCTCAAGAAATTGCTAAAGATACTTAGCACTATTGCTATCATGGTCAATACGATGACCCGCGCCTGTCCCGTTTAACATCCAAATACAAGGTTGTTTACCAAATGCAATAGTAAAACAACACTGTCAAAAGGGTTAAAATGTGTAGGAAAGACTCTTGAGTAGATAGGGTAGACAACTCTTAGTTACTTGATCAAGACTTGCAAAAACATCCTTGCTATTTTCAAACACACATCACAACACAATTTCAAAACATTTCTCAAAACAAACTTTCAAACATTGAAACATCTTTTCAAAAGACAAACACCTTTGTATACATTCAAACAAGAATCACTACAAAGGTTGCCTAGACAAGGCCTCTTTTCAAAACCTTTTCAAAACCACACACAAAGCACCATTTCAAACAATTGAAAAGCAAAAGCAAGTGATCTAAACAAGTAACTAAGAGCCCATGGATAACCATGGATAAAAAGGATGCTTGCACCTTCCCTTTTCATAATCTACCCCCCGAACCCAAGAAAACATCTCAAAGGTCTTTCCTATGCTTTTTGACCTTTCCTTTGGATAAAATAAAAAGTCGGTGGCGACTCTTTCTAAACCGAAACATTTGCGAACACAAACGCAAAACCTCAAGTCAGTTCTCCCACCGTATCACAATATGGTATCTGGTATCCCAAGTTTTGAGATACCTGAAATTCTTTGTGAAGGTTGTTTAGTTGGAAAGCAATCCAGAAACTCTTTTGTTTCAACTATTCTAATGAGATAATCATGCATACTCGAAGTGGTACATTCAGATGTATGTGGTCTATTCTAAGAACATACCACTGGTGGAAACAAATATTTTGTTTCGTTTGTCGATGAGTTTAGTCGAAAGTTGTGGATCTATGTGATCAAGAGAAAAGACAAAGTATTTGAAATCTTTAAGAGATTCAAGATGCTTGTCATAAACCAGAGTGAGAAAAGGATCAAAGTTCTGAGAATAGATGAAGGTGACGAATACACTTCGAAGATGTTTGAAAAATTCCGTGTAAAACATGGTGTTGATCACGAGGTAACTTCTCCTTATACGCCTAAACATAATGGAATTGCATAAAGAAGTAACAAAACCATATTGGATATGGCGAGATGCATGCTGAAGCAAAAGAATTTTCCAAAATCTTTATGGGGTGAACTTGTTTCGACTATAGTTTATATCCTGAACAGGTGTCCTACCAAGATATTGAAGAACAAGGTTCCTGAAGAAGTATGGAGTAGAAAACGACCATCAGTGAGTCATTTGAAGGTGTTTGGCTCTATGTGTTACAAGTATGTTCCTGATGCGAGAAGAAGGAAACTTGATGACAAGAGTGAATCTATGATTCTGGTAGGATATCATAAGACTGATGCATACGAACTATTCAATCCAATTAATGAGAAGAATGTGTTAAGTCAAGATATTGTGATTGATGAAAATTCGGTCTGGGATTGGAATTCTAGTAATTCAATTAACAAGCCATTGATGAGCTCCAATTTTGACGAAGAAATTGATGAAGTCGAAGTCGAAGTAGAAGAAATTGTTGATATTCCAGAAACAATCAAAGTCGAAGAGGTTGTGGCTGAAACAAGGAAAAGACCTCAAAGAAATAGAGTTCTTCCAATAAAACTTCATGATTATGAGGTAGTAGATGATGATACAGTCACACCAAATAAAGAATAAGTTCATTTTGCTTTACTTGCAGGTGCTGAACTAATCAACCATAACGAAGCTTTGAAGATTAAATAGTGGAAGTTAGTTATGATCGAAGAGTTACGGGAAATCAAAATAAATAATACATGGGAGTTAGTCGAATTTCAAGCATATACAAAAGCTATTGAAGTGAAGTGGGTGTTCAAGTTGAAACACAATGCTGATAATCCGATAGCAAGACATAAAGCAAGATTAGTAGCTAGAGGGTTTCTTCAACGAGAAGGACTCGACTACTCTGAAGTATTTGTTCCAGTAGCAAGATTGGAGACTGTTCGACTAGTGGTAGCATTGGCATGCAATCAAGGTTGGTCGACATTTCACTTAGATGTGAAATCAACATTTCTGAATGGCCCTTTAGATTAATAGGTCTATATTATACAACCTTCGAGGTTTGTGATTCAGAAGGAAGCGAGTAAAGTATATAAGTTGCACAAAGCGCTATATGGCCTCAAGCAGACACCTAGGGCATGGAACAAGAAGATCGACTCATACTTAATAGAATTGGGATTTGTCAAATGAAAATCTAAGTATGGTGTCTATGTTCAGGTTGTAGCACAAGATATAACAATTATCTGCTTATATGTCGATGACTTGATAGTAACTGGAAACAGTTTGAAGAACTTGTTGAAATTCAAAGAGCTGATGATGAAGGAGTTTGAAATATCGGATTTGGGAAAATTGTCTTATTTCCCAGACATGGAATTTCAAATTTCGAAGCAAGGTATGGTGCTACATCAAAGAAAGTATATCAAAGAGATACTCAAGAGATTCATAATGGATGATTCGAATCTTGCATTCTCACTTGTCTAACCAAATGTGAAGTTGGAGAAGAATGGAGAGGAAGACAAAGTCGATGTAACTTTGTTCAAGCAAATCGTGGAATCTCTGAGATATGTGTGCAACTGTCGACCTGATATAGATTTTGCTGTCGGATTAGTAAGCAAATATATGAGTGAACCAAGAGTGTCACATATGAAGGCTGCAAGAAGAATCCTGAGATTTTTGAAGGGTTCGATAAACTGTGGAATACTATTTCGAAGAGATTCTGAAGATAAAGAAGCAATAGTTAATTGCTTTTCAGATGCTGATTGTTGTGGAGATAAGGAAGATTGAAAAAGCACAACTGAATATTTCTTTCAAGTATTTGGTTCCCCAATCTCATGGTGTTCGAAGAAGTAATTTGTGGTGGCATTGTCATCGTGTGAAGCTGAATATATAGCAGAATCATATGTTGTATGTCAAGCATTTTGGATCAGATTTATACTTGGAGAAGTGAAGGTCGAAGTGAAGAAACCTCTAGTGTTGCAAATCGACAACAATTTAGCCATAAATCTGGCGAAGAATCCAATTCTGCATGGAAGAAGTAAACATATCGAAGTTAGGTTTCACTTCTTGAGGGAAAAGGTAAATTGAGGTGAACTGAAGTAAGACATTGCTCCAGTGAAGCACAATTGACCGGCATTTTCACCAAAGGATTAAAGATCGAAAATTTTCTGAATTTGAGAAAGAAATTAGAAATAGTTCAGATTGATTATTTTTAGAGTATATTCGACAACTTAGATTATGAAGGTGTGTTGAAATATTAAATTAGATTTGTTAAAATATTAGATTAAATTAAATTTAATATTTAAATATAATCCAAATTGTGTAGATCCTGACCCAATTAGAATTGTATATAAATAGTTATAATTTATCTTATTATTTATACAATTCAATAATACAAATTCTTATTTTCTTATTCTCGTCACTAAAAACGTCTCACGGTTGTCTTAGAGAGAAGGAAGAGAATAAGTTATTTTACGAGTAGAGAGAAGAATCTTCTAAAAGCATTAATCATTAGTCAAATATTTATTGTTTTAAACGTATTCCCATGAAAAACAAAATATATCCAGAATTTAAGTAAAAATAGTCTACAGATTCCCTTGGGCAATACATAAATGTGAAACCACCAAACGCCTAATACTTTGCTTTGCTGGCCATAGTCAAATTAAAAGCTACTAGTATTATAGATATTGACAATTATCAGACTATGAGAACTAACAACTAACAGACCATGATCCTTAAAACAAGTACAAAACTTGGCAAAGGCAAACCATATCACACAGCAAGGGGGTCTGGTAATGAATCTGGAGCACCACTACTACCATTAAGCACAATCACATTGCCATCAGAATCAGCATCTACTATAACAGAGTCACCCTCTTTAATCTCTCTAGAAAGCATCTTCTCAGCCATGCTGTCCTCCAGAAGTCGCATGATCGCTCTTCTTAGAGGCCTCGCACCATAACTAGGATCATAACCTTCGTCAACCACTCTCTCCCTAAATCTCTCTGTCACCGAGAGCTCAATCTCTTTGGCTTTTAGTCTCTCAAACACCTCCTTCAGCATTATGTCAGCTATATCCTTAACCTCCAGTTTTGTCAGTTGCCTGAAAACAATCATTTCATCTAGCCTATTCAAGAACTCTGGCCTAAAGTACTGCTTCAGCTCCTCGGTCACCAAGCTCTTGATTCGATTATAACTGCTGTCCTTCTCGTCATAGTCAAGGTCAAATCCCATGCGACGGCCTCCTTTCTCGATCACACTGCTTCCAACGTTTGATGTCATAATAAGAAGTGTGTTCTTGAAGTCAACAGTTCTTCCTTTACTGTCTGTTAGTCTCCCATCTTCCAGGATTTGAAGCATCATGTTGAAGACATCAGGGTGGGCTTTCTCAATTTCATCAAAGAGTACAACAGTGTAGGGACGTCGCCGAACTGCCTCGGTCAGTTGACCACCCTCGGTGTAACCAACATATCCAGGAGGTGAACCAATGAGCTTGGAGACTGTGTGCCTTTCCATAAATTCACTCATGTCAAGTCGAATCATGGCTTCTTCAGATCCAAAGTAGTATGAGGCCAAAGCTTTGGCCAACTCAGACTTCCCCACACCAGTAGGGCCAGAAAAGATGAAGCTAGCGATTGGCCGGTTAGGGTTCTTAAGTCCAACACGAGCTCGGCGGATAGCCCGGCTAATGGCTTCTACTGCTTCATGCTGACCAATAATGCGTTTGTGTAGGGCCTCTTCCATTTTGAGAAGGCGGTCAGATTCGTCAACTGAGACTTTGTCCACAGGGATACCTGTCCAGGCGGAAACAACATGCTGTATGTCAACTTCAGTCACAAGTGCATCTACATCTGCCTCACTCTCTGCCCTGCTCATCTCCTTGTGTTTTTCTAAAAGTGCTGACATCTGATTCTTAAGATCCATTTCTTTATCCCGTAGCTCTCCAGCCTATTCAAAAGTTAAGGTATCATCAGCCTGCTAATCATTAACCAAAAAGTAAAAGAATTTGAAGATTTACTATTGAAAGAACAAACTACTACAATGTCTTCAAACAAAAACTAAAGATAAAATAGCCTTACATGGCTTATTTTTCTTTTTAGAAAAATATAATGTAATCTCATCTCATAGTAAAAAAGGTGGTTGATTATCCTTAAAATGTTGGGTAAGTTTAAAACTTTGCAAGTTAAATCTTTAAATTAAAGCATTACCTTTTCATAATCTTGGTTGCGAATAGCTTCATTTTTCTCCTTGACTATCTGCCCAACCTCCTTTTCAAGACCTCTTGCGCCTTTAGGTAACTGCAAGTATGTAAATTTGGCACAATTAGCTCAACAATAGACGAGACAATAACTGCTAGTTGGGAATGGCAAATGAACAATACCCGTGCATGTTGAAGTCGGACTCGGGAACCAGCTTCGTCGATCAAATCTATAGCTTTGTCAGGCAAAAATCGATCACTGCAGAAGAAGACGTAATTATTTTATGAACTAGAAAATACTTAAGATAAACAGCAAGTATAGAAGGTTCAGTTTGATTCATTCATATTCAACAACTGTACAAGAGTTCTGAAATAAATAAGAAGTGTAAGATGACAAGACAGAAGGTTCAGTTTGATTCGTTCATATTCAACAACTATATGAGACTTCTGAAATAAATGTTGTAAAATAATTCAAAGGCATAATGCTAAATTCCAGAAGATTGACTTTGGCTAAAACATGTAACACCAGAACTTTAAAAAATATATCCTTTTCACAGCATAAATTATAATTGAAAATGAGCAAAGAATGTGTATACATATGTTTTATGACAAACCTGATATATTGATGCGAAAGTTCTGCAGCAGCTACAAGAGCATCATCGGTATAACTGAGCTTGTGGTGAATCTCATAGCGCTCTCTAAGCCCTTTCAGAATTTGAATAGCTTCACTCACAGTTGGTTCTGGTACTTTAACTGGTTGGAATCGCCTCTCTAAAGCGGGATCTTTTTCAATGTGCTTCCTATATTCATCTAGTGTAGTGGCTCCTATACACTGCAAAAGCATTTAATTACATCTTTAGTCTTCACATTTCATAGCCAATCCAAAGTAATCATTCAGAATTTTAACTATTGATTATAACTGAACTGTTGAAAATGTTTATGCATATTTACAGATAAAAGTATTCCAAAATTAATTACTGAAACTTCTGCAAACATATGTTCATTGATCCGCATGTTAAGAGTGCCGCATATCATTTTTTGAGATGTCAAAAGAAAACATTACCTGTAGTTCACCTCTAGCAAGAGCTGGTTTCAATATGTTTGCTGCATCAATTGCCCCTTCAGCTGCTCCTGCTCCAATTAGAGTGTGCACTTCATCAATGAAAAGTATTATGTCATCATTTTGTTTGATTTCCTCCATTAGTTTTTTCAATCTCTCCTCAAATTCTCCGCGGTATTTAGTTCCAGCTATAAGTAGACCCATATCTAGGGTTATAACCTACACCATGCAGAACAAGGCTTTCACGTCATTTAGGACATTCAAAAGTATGCTAAAATTCCATATCTAAGAATTACAATCAGATAAGATACCAACCTTCTTTCCCGCAATGGTTTCGGGGACAACACCGTTTGCAATCTGTTGAGCAAGACCTTCAGCAATAGCTGTCTTTCCGACACCAGGTTCGCCAATAAGACAAGGATTATTTTTGGTACGGCGGCCTAAGATTTGAACGACACGTTCAATTTGTGGCTGCCTACCCACAACAGGATCCAATCTTCCCTGGGATTTTTATTTTTGAAGACAAGGTCAGAAGAGAAAAACTAGTAACCTTCAACACAGAATGAGACATCATCTACCATCATGTTACAAGTTACCTCCTCAGCAAGCTTTGTCAAATTGGTGCCATACTCCTCCAAAGTTGACATCTTGTTCTTACCAACTTCAAAGCCAAAAGCCGCCACAACATTGTCAGCAGCCTCGCCAACCATGCGAACCACCTGTTCCCATCCAGTGGAGTACAAAATTAACACACAAAAACATATACAAAGATGACAATATGCTCCTATAAAATAAATATGTAAAAGGAATAAACAAGGACATATTACTAGCCTGCGTTTGAATATTAGTTGGATCAACGCCCAAATTTTCAAGAACACGTGCTGCCACGCCTTCACCCTCTCGAAGAAGACCCAAAAGCAAGTGCTCGGGTCCAATATAATTGTGACCTGGAAATTCCAATTCCAAAACGTGAGCCGAAATTTCAGCAAGCCTAGACAAAGTATTGCACATGAATGCAACTTTTTAACCACACTCCAAATAAAAGAAAGAGCGAAAATACCACCCAAAAGATAAACTAACACCAATCCATACATGAATTTCAACTCACTTCGAATGTATTTAATTCAAATTCAAATCTGTCATCCATCGGATCAATTAATCAAGGCAACAAGCAAGTCATCAGAACACATTTTCCTTAAACAAAACAATTGGTTAGACATTTAAATCGACAAATAAAGGTATGCTATTGTTTACCAAGATGGCGAGCTTCCTCCAACGTGAGTTCCAAAACTCTCTTGGCACGAGGAGTAAACGGAATCTCAACAGTAACAAAACCACTACCTCTACCAATTATCTTCTCCACTTCAACACGCGCGTCTTTCAAGCTAATCCCCATAGACTTCAGAACCTTAGCAGCAATACTGGTGCTTTCACCAATAAGACCCAACAGAATCTGTTCTGTTCCTACAAAATTGTGTCCCAGCCTCCTTGCTTCCTCTTGAGCCAACAAAATAACCTTGATTGCTTTCTCCGTGTAACGCTCAAACACAGCTTTCGTCACACATCTCCTACCTCTACCCCTGCCACCCTTTGCTCGATTAGTACCAATCTGAGTAAACACCTTAGAATGAAAATCTTGTCCAGGTCTCAACATAGATTCCAACGAGTTCAAAGTTCGTAATCCGGAGAAACCAGACAGTCTCGGCGCAGCAGTTCGTATAGCATATATCATTCTAACAGACCTTGGTTTGACTGAACCCTGATTGTTATGGCCACGCCTTTGCCAAGCCACTATATTAATCGACGGTGACAAAACCCTAGACATGCTTATTACTCAATTGTTCGCTGCATTTATGAATGAAAAAGATATATAAGCATACAAGTAATACTATAATAGTAACTAATAATACACGTAAATAACATAATGCATTCAAGAAACCAAACGTGTTATTGCTTTTTAACCCTAAAGATTATATAACTAGTAGACTAAACAAATGCATTCTACAATCAACGTACAGTTAAGATTACAATTCTTTTGAAACCTATGGAGTTAATAGCGGTGAATTATTTTTGAAGAACAAAAATATGGACAGAGAAACCTGAAGAAACACAGTAGAAGTGTTCAAGTTATGAAAAATCAGAATAAGAAGGAGGATGAAGAAGCGGCGAAGTTGAACTAAACTGCTGCATATTTTGTTACGTGAAACGGAAAAGAAGGTTTTAGAATGAGGAAACAACCGAAAACTTTGGCCACGTAATTGTTTTTTTCAGTTTTGTTATTGAAATTTTAAAATTTTTGGGTGAATAGGTATTTAACACTGTTATTTATCATTTATGAGTCTTCGTTTTTCTCGGTAAACTATTTTTTATTTTTAAAAACTTTGTCACGCGAATTTTTTTAGTTACGAGTTGTGTTTGAGTTGATGTGGCAAGTAGGTGTTATTGATTTTTAATATTTTATTACTTTTTATTGTCACATATATCAATTTACTAAATATCACAAGACCATTCAAATAATTGAGCATTTCGCCTTTGTTTTTCGTTTTTCACATTTGCCCTAAATGCGTCCTTCGTATTTTGGAAATGCCATTGTCAAGTAAATTTTTTCAGTCAAATTTCTCATTTTTGTAGTTGATCATGTTCAGTGTGGTTTTCCATCACGGTGGAGAGTTCGTTAGAGAGAAAATAATATTTTACATGGGTGGGGTTCAAAGCATTGTGCATGAAAAATATTGAAAAATGGGGTTTATCTAAGGTGATGAAGATCGTTTTTGACTAGGGTTATGAAAGAAACAAATTTAGAGTATGGAGCAAACTTAAAGATATAACTTATTGCTATTTTGAAATTAACAAATATGGTCGTGTTGTTGATGTTGCTACTTATGTTGTTGGAAACTCCATTGATGGTCATTTGTATGTTGAACGCAATGTGAAGGATATCAAGATCAAAGTGGTTGGGCCTCAATGCATGATGTTAGTGTTAGGAATGAATCAAGTGATGAAGATGCGGATAAAAGTGGCGATGATGCAAGAAATCTCATATTTGATGGCAGTGAGGAGGATAAAACAACTGTATTGAATGATGGATTTGAAGTTCTTGAAGTCGACATGCCCAAAGAAGGTTCAAACAGAATTGACATAAATGGAAAGTCATATAAGATTAAGATGTGTGCAAGTAAGTCACCTATGAAGAAGAAGAAATTAACTCCAAAGAAGAAGATGAAGGTGTAGGTGATTCCACCTACTAAGAAATTAAACGATCATGAACCCAAGGATGATGGAGAAGACCAATATGTGAGTGATGAATTGGGTAGCTCAGACCTAGATGCTTCTGAAGATGAGAAGCTACCTAAATATGAAAGAAGATATGTCTTCATATCAGACCAATAAAAGGCATGTCTTTTATTTGTTAGTGTAATTTAACTGATATGGTGTTAGTGTGATTTAACTGATATGGTGATGTTGTGGTTTAACCTTTAGGCAAATTTCAAAAAGAAAATTGGTGAAGATACTTTAATCATAGATTTAATGATGGGTGCAGCCAAAGCCACATATTACCAAGCATGGCATGAAAAAATGCAAGAACTAAAAAAGCTTGACACAAATGCATGAGAATGGCTTATGAAAGTTTCAACTAAGACTTGGTGTAAGCATACTTTTAACTTTTATCCTAAGTCTGATGTATTAATCAACAACATTTTTGAATCATTTACTGCCACAATATTGGTTGCAAGGGATAAATCTATTCTAACCATGGTGAATGGATTCAAATCTACTTAATGAATATGATGTCAAACTCTACAAAAAAAATAGATAGATGGGAACATATGATTACGCTAATACCTAGGAAGTGGTTCGATAGAGAGGTTTTTACAAGTGGTCAATGAATCCCAACATAGTCTATGAATGATGAATGAGAGGTAAAATGTAACACCATATTTTTCCAACGGTAATTTTAATAAAAATCAGAGTAAAATAAAACTCTAAAATAGGATGTCACATCGTTCAATCATATCAAAATTTGCTCAATTGAGATAAAATAGATACATAACACACATTTCGGATGAACCAACAACATTTTAACACAGTCTTCAGATTTCAACTTTATTAATGCAGCGGAAAGAATTTCATAATTATTCCAAGATCTTCAACTCATCATAAAATCAACAAATTAATCAATTAAAAAGAAAGTCTACAACACTCCCAAAATTCCTCAAAGAAAATATCAACTAAAATAAAATAATTAAGCATTTATCCCCCCGGTGTTACGTATCAAAGTAATGACACCCACTCAAAATAAGAAGAGAAACCTCTTCTGGGCTACACAACTTCGCAGTACTCCTGGTTGTCTACACGTTACCCATGTGGAGGCAACATCAAACAGAAGGAGTGAGATATCATAACAATATAATAGGTTATATAATTATAAGTAAACAACATGTATATCATGCAAGATTTCAAGTTCGACAATTATTTGTTACACCACTCCAACAAGTCCATAATTCAACAATTTCACAAATGTAATGCAACTGACTCTAATGTGGATGCATGTGGTACCATCAGAGCATAAGCCATCTCCCAACAAATTTCCATATAGGTGTTGGCTGAAGATTTTGATAATGTTATTTAGAATTCAAAAGAGTTAAAAGTTCTGATCGAAATGGAATTAAACGCCATATTTCGAAGTTGCAGAAGCAGTGTTTCGAATAAGTGTGTCAAAGCTTGAAGCTTCGAACGGTGATTTTGGGAACATATCCAAAGGGATCTCGAAACAACAGCGAGGCTAGAGCGTTCGAAACGGAGAAACCCCAAAGCATTTAAAATTCAAATGGAAGCGGGACTTTCAAAGTTTGAAAGTTATGTGTTGGAGCATTTGGGGACACGTGGAAAGATGAAAGAAGCATTGTCTTGCATGTTCGAAACGTGGCATGATCCTGTAGCGAGACCGTTAGGGTCGAATTAGTATAAATAGAAGTCTTAGTATTAGGATTTCAGTGTGTCATATCTTTTATACAAAATACTCAATAACATTCAAACTACCACATGGCAAGGGAAACGAATGCAAGAGAAATGTATGTATGATAGCACCATGTATTTCTAACTTAATGAAAGCCTTTTTACCATTTCCAGCACTTTCCTCTTTTCTTTTTGTCGAATAACATTTGCAAGTTTCTTTATTCACTGTCTTTTCATTTCAAAGTCTTTTCCTCAAAGTTTTACGTTTTACTGCTTTCTTTATACTTCGAGCACTTTATATTTCAGAGAACTGTTACACTTTCAATACCTTTACTTTCAAGCATTGTTTTTCAAGCGCATACTTTTACTTAAAATCATTTATAGATTTCTTGCATTAAACGCTTTTTTTCACATTTTTAACTTCTACATTCCAGAAACTTTTTATGTTAAATGTTTTATAAATCGAAACCATTTACTTCATTTTTCATACAGTTTTATATGTCTCTTCAATCAGCATTACAATTAGCATTTATTCGTATAACTTAGTTTTCATATACATTTGACCACATTTTCAAACTCTTAGAAAGAGGGATCGAAATAAACCAAACACTTGTACAATAGAAACCATGAATAATTGTTCGATTGTGAGAGTAACCTTAATATCCAAGGAGTCCTAGGATCAATCTAGTCGATCCTGTGAGTTACCAGAGAGATTGAATAGCGTTAACAAAGATTATTCGATAGTTTGGAAGACTAGCGGTTGTTTACCAGAAATCACTGGAAACAAATTGGCACACCTGGTGGGACCAATAGTTGGATATCAGAATTAAGGATTGTCGAGACGTAGCCATCCCAAAAACGTAGGAACCTAAGAAGTTTGCTGTTTTATGAACCTGAGAAGTGGTAAGATAACCAGCAACCAACCTCTATCCAGAAGAAAACGTTTGGACAAAATGTCTAATTCAGACAATCAACAAGGAGACCAAGGTGGCCCACATGCAACAGGCACTAACGCGTCCATTTCGAGCGGAACATCTAATGTAATCCCTTCGAATGCACAGTCTGTTGCATCTTCAACCAGTAACATGGCCACCAATGGAGTAAGTGGCATATCAACTAACAGTTCGATCTTAGGAAATACTGGAACTATGGGCTACCCTGGGGGATTCGTTCCACCACCAGGAACACAATCCCATTTCGCCACACCGTTAACTAGACCACCCGACTTCGATGGGAATAGAATTAGAAGTTCTTCTTACGGAATGCCAACATCTTTTATGGTAGGTTTACACAATTCCACATCGAATTCATCCCCACAACTAGGATCTGGGTCTGGGGCGAACCAATTTATGACAAATAACCAAGGGTCAGTGGGTTATAGCACGTTGCCTATCCTAACCACAGATAACCAGTTGGATTTTAGGCAATTGATGGATGACAGCAACCACAATATGATAGGGGTGTTAGCGCAAACCATGCAGGAAATATTTGCCCCAATAGTTCAGAATGTGACTGTGACGAACAGGGAAAACGCTGACAATATGAGTCGAATAGCAGATTTCTTTGCTCCCACAGAAAGGCGTAGGCAGAACCAGGCGGGATTTCGAACAAACATGCCTGTTATAGAACAAATTGCTAACGACCCAATTCATAGACCACCCAGAGAAGAAGCTAACTTAGGGGCCAGAGCACCAAGGTTAGAAGCCCCAATAATTCCGGGCCCACGAGGGGAAGTTATGGAACCAGGGGCAAGGATCGAAAGGCCAGAAGCCCCAGAATTTCGAGAAGAACAACCTAGGGGAGTTGTTTTGGTTGGTCGAAATCAAGATGCCGATGCCGTCGTTCATAGGATTCGAAACGATAACATCTTGGCAGAAAATAACCTAACCACCATGATAGAGAGGATCATGGCCCAGAATGGCCTCAATACGGGAATGAGGAGGCCAAATTACGCTTCTCCTATATTGGATTGTATAATGCATACTGATTTACCAAGGGGATACAAAGTCCCTAAATTTACAAAGTTCGCTGGGGATACCAACGAGTCAACAGTCGAACACATAGCGAGATATCTAACCGAAGCGGGAGATATAGCCAATAATGAAGATCTCAGGATCAAATACTTCCCAAGTTCCTTGACAAAAAACGCCTTCACTTGGTTTACCACGTTGCCTCCTGGGTCTATTGACACTTGGACCCTTTTAGAGAGATTATTCCATGAACAATTTTACATGGGACAATCGAAAATAAGTTTGAAGGAATTGGCCAGTGTTAAGAGAAAGTTCACTGAACCCATAGATGATTATTTGAATAGATTTAGGCTGTTAAAATCCAGATGTTACACAGTAGTGCCTGAACATGAGTTAGTCGAAATGGCCGCTGGGGGTTTGGATTATTCTATTCGAAAGAAATTAGATACTCAGTATTTGAGGGATATGGCTCAATTAGCCGATAGGGTTCGACAGGTCAAAAGACTAAAAGCTGAAAAAGCCAGAGTCTTTAAGAATAGTAAGAAAGAAAGGATTTCCTATGTTGGGACTGAGGAAGTAGAAGAATATCCTGAATTCGAATTCGAAGAGGTCGAAATCGACCTCGCTGAATTAAAACAGGCCCCACCTTACTCCTGCAAAATGTTAGTTCCCACGAAAGGGAAAGATATTGTTGAAAATGAGAAAAGTGACAAGTTTCCAAAGAAGGTTTATACCTTCGACGTCACTAAGTGTGACGAAATTTTTGACTTGCTTGTCAAGGATGGCCAACTAATTGTGCCATCAAATGTCAAAATACCTCCCTTGGATCAGAGGAAGAAAAGGGGATTTTGCAAATATCATAGTTTCCTAGGCCACAAGACCTCACAATGTTTTCTTTTCAGGGACTTGATTCAAAACGCGATCAAAGATGGCAGACTAAAGTTTGCTGACAAGGTGAAGATGAAAGTGGACGAAGATCCCTTGGACGTCGCAGACACCAACTACTCCGAGCCTACATGCATTGGAGAGGTCAACATGGTGGAAACTGATCGAAGCGACGCCCTAACAGGAGAGAAGGACACTGGAGTCGAAAACTGGGTGATGGTCGAAGTCAGCGAGGAAGTCACTAAAGACATCCAGAATACGCCAGACACTTCGATTGCTGCACCTGTGGCTGTTGCAGGAGAAACCCAGGCTACTGAAGGCCAAGGGAATCAAAACGAAGGATTGACACAAGTCACTGAGGGCTTGAGGCTGGAATTGGAGAAAGTCCAAATTACGCAGCCAGTTCCCCCTCAGAAGGAAATATGGGACACTCTGGGGGAACCTAGTGGAAAATTTGACTATCTGGTCAAATATTCTGCCCCAGAAAGCTCGAAGGTCCAGATCGAAGATATAAAGCCCACAGGATGGGGCGATGACGAAACTAAAGAGGGGGACGTGGAAATAAATATGGTGGATATGGAAAGACCCCGTTCTGAGATGGAGGAAGTGGAAAAATACTTAGAAAAAGAAAAGCACAGAATGGGGGATAATCACACTGGAGATGCTACTCTCAAAGACTATCTCATGACATGTCACAAAGGAGATCCAGGCATGATATTGTGCCCTAGGTGCAGCATCCTCTGCAACCAAAGAATTGCTGCAAATTTCGAAAGGGTACAGAGGGCTCGAACTGGCAACAAT